GTCTGTGATTCAGAGATTTTTTAAGCCAGCAGAGAAGGCCGCCACTGTCAAAATAATAGGTAAGTGTAATAATAAATTGCACCTAACTTTCACAAGTAATACTATACCGTGCTCTGAACCACGTAAGCAGCATACGATAACAAGAGCATGTGCTGCTACCAAAACATGCACAAATAACACTTTTCAACAACCAAATAAAAGTAGCATGCACAGCATCTTTAAGTTAAATTAGGGATTTAATGCAACACATGTACACCGGCAAACAAAGTCTTATTTAAATAACAGAAAGTGTCCTATAACAGGAAATGTTTATAATGGCAACTCAGACTGGAAATACAACAGAGGAATATATGATATTAAGTGTGAACGAAAATATCTTCCAAGACTGGGAAATGTACTAGTAAAAATGGACTGGGAATAAACTCAGGAACAAACTCAGGAACAGGGACAACAAACTGGGAAACAGAATTGCAGAGAAGCAAACAGATTAGATTCAGGGGTTATGATTCCGGGTAGTGATGTGACGTTCCGTGTCAAGTCTTCGAAGCGTGTGCCGAGTAGGGAGGGGGCGTTTCCGCGAAGCGCTTATCGAGGCTTGATTCAGTTAGGGAAGGAGCTGAAAATGATGACGTCCGAAGCCTCGCTGCCCGGCTGTACCACGTGACTGATTCAGGAAGTGGTTCGGGTTTTGCCGCGAGTTTTGACAGCGATATAAACTGCTCAGTCTTCATTCAAAATGTGGGTGTTTGATGGAGAGTTGCGATCAGTGAGAGTTTGGAAGTTTGGAGACAGTTTAAACTCACAAAAAAACAATTCTTATTTCTTAGGTAACAACCTGTGGTGTCGCCTGGATGACAGAGTCAGGCAGACACAAACACAAAATGTAATAGCAGATGCAAATATTGAGGTCCAACGGTGCATGATGGAGCCAAATATTGGAAGGCTGGAGGACCCCCTTCAATACTGGGAGAGACAGAAATATGTCTATCCCCATTTATATAAATTAGCAGTGGCATTCTTGTGTCCGCCTGCCTCATCTGTGCCCTGTGAGCGGGTGTTTTCAAAAGCAGGAGAAATATTGTCAAAAAAAAAGAAATCGCCTGAGACCTGCCACAGTGGAGAAACTGTTGTTTTTAAATAAAAACCAATGATGTGTCCCTGAACCATAATCACCCAACGTTACAAAAGCACACAATCAATGTCCATACTCCAACAAATAANCCTCAGTACTACACGTGTACAGCGCCGTGTGTAACTGAGACACTAGAGGTCACTGTTGAGGTACAGTATCTCAGTCAGTTTGGCTCAGCCCTTGGGCATTTTCTTTAAGTTAGCTTTATTCATTTAGATGCACCTTTGTTGTTATTTAGTTGTTATTTTTATTTACTTATTTATTTACTTCTAATTTGTCTTATTTAATACCCATTTTTGTTCTACTTGTTGTTCTTGTCGTGACCTAGTTAAGGTCAGAAGCACAAATCTGAGCACTCAAAGGCACAGGGAAAGAGCCACAGTGAATCATGGTGTCTGACCTGAGGACATGCAGCTGATGACCTGGTCCTGGTCGACTCTCTCTCTCAGCTCCTGGAGTCCAGCAGACGTCACAGTATTGCCCCGTAGGTCCAGGTGCCTCAGAGGAAGTGAAGGACGGAGCCTCAGAGCAGAAGCCAAATACCGACAGCTGAGGTCCGACACACCACAGGACCTTAAACTACACAGAACAAATATGAGGCCTTAGTGTTGGGGCAGGAAAAGACTGTGAAGGTTGATGGTTTATTTTGAAGCCTTCCTGGAAGATTTGAAAGTGTCAAGGCTGGAATGTCCAAAAAACAGCACCTAGTTACTATATGAGGGGAAAAAGGTATTTTGTTTATTGTATGTTTATATGATTTTTAATTCTGTTATCTTGGGTGTAGATTAATTCTCATGTTTCTTAAAGTCACTTATGTGCACAGAAAAATAAACAATGGGAAAGGCAGGGTTCATCTGTACGAGTGTTTATTCTACTAAAGCTGCTATAATGACTCTTCAGTGAAGTGTGATCAGTTCCTGCTTCTCTGTTGAGTTCAGCTCTATGCACATACACAAACATTTCCCCACTTTGTCCTACTCTCAGTGGATTTAGGCTACGTCCACATGATAATGCTCCTATATATATATATATATATATATATATATATATATATATATATATATATATATATAATATATATACCCTCACCCACAGTTTGAGAACCTCTTCTTTAATCCACTTCCACTGACACTTTACACGAAACTGTGAACAAAGTATGTCGGATTTTTAAACCTGTTTTTTCAAGTTCCTAACTGGAGTTACATTCTCTTACTGGTTTTGCAGTGGGATTTAACAGCATCTGCACATTTAACAAACCAAACGTACATCATGACAAACACAGATGCATCTGTGCACTTTTATTAGGCAAACTTCAGCCACATGTCGCACTAGACCTGCTCTGTGCTGTAGATCTGCTCTGTGCTGTAGACCTGCTCTGTGAGTCCGAGACGAGTACTACGACACTACGATCTACCCACATTACCTTGGAGATCGACTGGTAGATCGCGATCCACATATTGGACACCCCTGGTTTAAACCATTTGATGGTTTTGCTGTTTTCCCCACACTCTCACCTATGTAAGACCATAATTCCCAATATTTGACAATAATCACTCATCCAGACTTTGGCTCTGCAGTAAGTCTGACCTGATACTAAAGACAGGATCAAGTGTGAACACAGAAATGTATTTGTGTGGAGCAGCGGCTGACCTCAGAGTTTCTAGCTGACACAGTGGGTTCCACAGAAAACGAAGCAAAAACTCCACTCCACGATCTGTTAGTTCAAGATTTTCACTGAGGTCCAAGACTCTGAGGTGGGAGGGGTTTATCCACAGAGCTTCATCCAGGGGCCAACAGCAGCTGTAGGTCAAACTGCAGCGACTCAATCTGGTGCAAAACAACAAAACAATAAAATAGTTCCATGAATTAAAAAGTGGTGATATTGGAGAGCTGCACTGGATCAGAACTTATAAACACAGGTGCCCATCAGACCAGGGGCTTGAATTCTTGTAGAGAACAAAGAGGACGGCACAGACGCTCTGATTTTCAGTGCAGCATTTGGAAATGGCTGTTTATAAATGTTATATTTAAATAAATGAAACTGAAAAATCTTGTGGATTGGTGTAAGTGCCCTGGTGGGGATGTGTCTGAATGTTCCACATGTGGCATTAAACACACGTCTATCTCCATGGAAACAAGCAGATGATGCCAACAGGCCAATTTAAAGGTCAGATCTGTGGAGAGGCGACCTTGTTTACAGAATGCATAACTTCTGAATAGGTTCAGAAAATGGAAGCAAAAATAAATTTAAGAATATTAGTCTCTTCATTAAATCTGTGAAAACCATTTCACCAGATTCAGAACAGAATAAATTAACTTTATTGTCTCGAGAAAAAATCATCTTTGGTTCATAAAAACCACATAAAAACAGCACAAACACGACATGAGTCAAAGGAGCAGTCGCTCTGCTAAAATACACAGAACAGATCCTGTTCCAGCCCCATGTCGGATCAGTAAATATTCACGTCTAAACGACAATGGAGCACTGAGTGAAAAAGATGTAATACATCTGCCTCACCTGTATGTGGCGCTGTTTTCAATAATAATATTTAATGGCACTTGGGGTTATAATCCCGTGTGTTTGGGTGTGTGGAGAAACTGGCACTGCTGTGGAGCAGCTTTTTACACTTGTGTAGTGGGATATGTTCATGATTTGTTCCTCATGAAAACAGCATCATCAATGTTTTATATATAAATCCTTTTTCACCTTCAAGGTTCTCGAAGCAACTCTTACCTCTAACAATATGTACAAAAAAAGACATTTCCATGATTGGAAAGGAGCAGGATTTGGTCTGTTCCTTTATTTAAACATTTAAACCAGGAGCGTCCACGCTTTCTCAGCATGTGAGCCACTTATAAAATAACCAAATCAAAATGATTGACCTACTACAAAGCCAAGCAAACTCTTCTTTAATCCCACTTCCACTGACACTTTACACGAAACTGAACAAAGTGGGTCGGATTTTTAAACCTGTTTTTTCAAGTTCCTAACTGGAGTTACATTCTCTTACTGGTTTTGCAGTGGGATTTAACAGCATCTGCACATTTAACAAACCAAACGTACATCATGACAAACACAGATGCATCTGTGCACTTTTATTAGGCAAACTTCAGCCACATGTCGCACTAGATCTGCTCTGTGCCGTAGACCTGCTCTGTGCTGTAGATCTGCTCTGTGCTGTAGACCTGCTCTGTGCCGTAGACCTGCTCTGTGCTGTAGATCTGCTCTGTGCTGTAGATCTGCTCTGTGCTGTAGATCTGCTCTGTGCTGTAGACCTGCTCTGTTTCAACACTGCAACATAAATTTAGATTAGTTTTACTTCATGTTTGTCTTGCTCTTCTACTCAGCGCATTGAGGATGGAGCCTGTCTGTGCTGTACACAGGAAGGAGCGAGAGCGTGAAAAGGCGAGGAGCGGTGATGTGAGGCAGGTGGACAGGTAGGATGTTTTAAAAAGTTTAACCTGTCCTGTGATACCACACTGTTACGGACAAGGTGCGCACAGGGAGTGTGCGTTTGTGATGTGTCACACATTATCTGCGGGTTCCAAATGAGCGCCCGCTCGTTCCCACATGCCCCCGCACCCTCCCGCACACCTGTACTAGTTTATTGCCGACTTGTCGAGTGTCAGACCTCAAGTGAGAGACAAGATCGAGTCCGAGACGAGTACTACGACACTACGATCTACCCACATTACCTTGGAGATCGACTGGTAGATCGCGATCCACATATTGGACACCCCTGGTTTAAACCATTTGATGGTTTTGCTGTTTTCCCCACACTCTCACCTATGTAAGACCATAATTCCCAATATTTGACAATAATCACTCATCCAGACTTTGGCTCTGCAGTAAGTCTGACCTGATACTAAAGGCAGGATCAAGTGTGAACACAGAAATGTATTTGTGTGGAGCAGCGGCTGACCTCAGAGTTTCTAGCTGACACAGTGGGTTCCACAGAAAATCACACAAAATCTCCACTCCAAGATCTGTTAGTTCAAGATTTTCACTGAGGTCCAAGACTCTGAGGTGGGAGGGGTTTATCCACAGAGCTTCATCCAGGGGCAGACAGCAGCTGTAGGTCAAACTGCAGCGACTCAATCTGGTGCAAAACAACAAAACAATAAAATAGTTCCATGAATTAAAAAGTGGTGATATTGGAGAGCTGCACTGGATCAGAACTTATAAACACAGGTGCCCATCAGACCAGGGGCTTGAATTCTTGTAGAGAACAAAGAGGATGGCACAGACGCTCTGATTTTCAGTGCAGCATTTGGAAATGGCTGTTTATAAATGTTATATTTAAATAAATGAAACTGAAAAATCTTGTGGATTGGTGTAAGTGCCCTGGTGGGGATGTGTCTGAATGTTCCACATGTGGCATTAAACACACGTCTATCTCCATGGAAACAAGCAGATGATGCCAACAGGCCAATTTAAAGGTCAGATCTGTGGAGAGGCGACCTTGTTTACAGAATGCATAACTTCTGAATAGGTTCAGAAAATGGAAGCAAAAATAAATTTAAGAATATTAGTTTCTTCATTAAATCTGTGAAAACCATTTCACCAGATTCAGAACAGAATAAATTAACTTTATTGTCTCGAGAAAAAAATCATCTTTGGTTCATAAAAACCACATAAAAACAGCACAAACACGACATGAGTCAAAGGAGCAGTCGCTCTGCTAAAATACACAGAACAGATCCTGTTCCAGCCCCATGTCGGATCAGTAAATATTCACGTCTAAACGACAATGGAGCACTGAGTGAAAAAGATGTAATACATCTGCCTCACCTGTATGTGGCGCTGTTTTCAATAATAATATTTAATGGCACTTGGGGTTATAATCCCGTGTGTTTTGGGTGTGTGGAGAAACTGGCACTGCTGTGGAGCAGCTTTTTACACTTGTGTAGTGGGATATGTTCATGATTTGTTCCTCATGAAAACAGCATCATCAATGTTTTATATATAAATCCTTTTTCACCTTCAAGGTTCTCAAAGCAACTCTACCTCTAACAATATGTACAAAAAAAAGACATTTCCATGATTGGAAAGGAGCAGGATTTGGTCTGTTCCTTTATTTAAACATTTAAACCAGGAGCGTCCACGCTTTCTCAGCATGTGAGCCACTTATAAAATGACCAAATCAAAATGACCTACTACAAAGCCAAGCAAACTCTTCTTACTGAAACACTGTGGCCCTTTTTTGGACCCTCACCCACAGTTTGAGAACCTCTTCTTTAATCCCACTTCCACTGACACTTTACACGAAACTGTGAACAAAGTGGGTCGGATTTTTAAACCTGTTTTTTCAAGTTCCTAACTGGAGTTACATTCTCTTACTGGTTTTGCAGTGGGATTTAACAGCATCTGCACATTTAACAAACCAAACGTACATCATGACAAACACAGATGCATCTGTGCACTTTTATTAGGCAAACTTCAGCCACATGTCGCACTAGACCTGCTCTGTGCTGTAGATCTGCTCTGTGCCGTAGACCTGCTCTGTGCCGTAGATCTGCTCTGTGCCGTAGACCTGCTCTGTGCCGTAGACCTGCTCTGTGCCGTAGACCTGCTCTGTGCCGTAGACCTGCTCTGTGCCGTAGATCTGCTCTGTGCCGTAGATCTGCTCTGTGCCGTAGATCTGCTCTGTGCCGTAGACCTGCTCTGTGCCGTAGACCTGCTCTGTGCCGTAGATCTGCTCTGTTTCAACACTGCAACATAAATTTAGATTAGTTTTACTTCATGTTTGTCTTGCTCTTCTACTCAGCGCATTGAGGATGGAGCCTGTCTGTGCTGTACACAGGAAGGAGCGAGAGCGTGAAAAGGCGAGGAGCGGTGATGTGAGGCAGGTGGACAGGTAGGATGTTTTAAAAAGTTTAACCTGTCCTGTGATACACACTGTTACGGACAAGGTGCGCACAGGGAGTGTGCGTTTGTGATGTGTCACACATTATCTGCGGGTTCCAAATGAGCGCCCGCTCGTTCCCACATGCCCCCGCACCCTCCCGCACACCTGTACTAGTTTATTGCCGACTTGTCGAGTGTCAGACCTCAAGTGAGAGACTAGATCGAGTCCAAGACGAGTACTACGACACTACGATCTACCCACATTACCTTGGAGATCGACTGGTAGATCGCGATCCACATATTGGACACCCCTGGTTTAAACCATTTGATGGTTTTGCTGTTTTCCCCACACTCTCACCTATGTAAGACCATAATTCCCAATATTTGACAATAATCACTCATCCAGACTTTGGCTCTGCAGTAAGTCTGACCTGATACTAAAGGCAGGATCAAGTGTGAACACAGAAATGTATTTGTGTGGAGCAGCGGCTGACCTCAGAGTTTCTAGCTGACACAGTGGGTTCCACAGAAAATCACACAAAATCTCCACTCCACGATCTGTTTAGTTCAAGATTTTCACTGAGGTCCAAGACTCTGAGGTGGGAGGGGTTTCCCCGCAGAGCTTCATCCAGGGGGCGACACAGCTGCTTGTAGGTCAAACTGCAGCGACTCAATCTGGTGCAAAACAACAAAACAATAAAATAGTTCCATGAATTAAAAAGTGGTGATATTGGAGAGCTGCACTGGATCAGAACTTATAAACACAGGTGCCCATCAGACCAGGGGCTTGAATTCTTGTAGAGAACAAAGAGGACGGCACAGACGCTCTGATTTTCAGTGCAGCATTTGGAAATGGCTGTTTATAAATGTCATATTTAAATAAATTAAACTGAAAAATATTGTGGATTGGTGTAACTGTCCTGGTGGGGATGTGTCTGAATGTTCCACAAGTGGCATTAAACACATATCTATCTCCATGGAAACAAGCAGGTGATGCCAACAGGCCAAATGAAAGGTCAGATCTGTGGAGAGGTGACCTTGTTTACAGAATGCACAACTTCTGAATAGGTTCAGAAAATGGAAGCAAAAATAAATGTAAGAATATTAGTCTCTTCATTAAATCTGTGAAAACCATTTCACCAGATTCAGAACAGAATAATTAACTTTATTGTCTCGAGAAAAAATCATCTTTGGTTCATAAAAACCACATAAAAACAGCACAAACACGACATGAGTCAAAGGAGCAGTCGCTCTGCTAAAATACACAGAACAGATCCTGTTCCAGCCCCATGTCCAGAGTTTCTCAAACACTGAAGAGACGATGTTGCTCTGAGAAATGATGAAACTAGAATAAAACTTTGGTGAGTCTATTGAAATGATGATATTTATCCCACTAAAGACTGAAGAGTGAGTTTAATAGTGCACTTTGTGCTGAAACAGAGGAGACTGACCTGAGACTGGAGAGTTCACAGTGACGACTCTGCAGTCCAGCACACAGCGTAACCACTGCTGAGACACTCAGGTCATTTCCACTCAGATCGAGCTCTTTCAGATGGTTGGAGCTGGACTGCAGCGCTGAGGCCACCACTTCACAGTGAGTCTTTGAGAGTCCACACTCAACAAGCCTGTAAGCAGATGTTTCATTGAAATGTGTTTGTTTAGTCTGACCCCAGGTCTGCGAAGCTGCTGTTTGTGAGTGAGGACTGACCGAGCCTTCCTGCAGCTCCTCACCGCTGGGATCAGTCTCTGTCGACCACAAACAGATGTGTTGTACTTCTGTAGGTCCAGTTCCTCCAGGACCTGCTCTGACATCTGCAGCACGTAGGCCAGAGCCGAGCACTGGAACTCAGACAGTTCCTCCTGTGATGCTCCTCTAGACTTCAGGAGGTCCTGGATCTGCTGCAGGAACGACTGGTCCTTCATTTCCATCAGACAGTGGAAGATGTTGATGCTTTGGTCTGGAGAGACTTTCTCTGAGCTCATCTCTTTCAGGTTTTCAATGACTTTGGGGATTTCTGATTGGTTTACTGGACTCAGCAGACGTCCTAAAAGCTTCTGGTTGGAGTCCAGACTGAGGCCATGAAGGAAGCGCACAAACAGGTCCAGGCGGCCGTTTGAACTCTTCATGGATTTAACAAGAGATCGTTTGAGAAACTCACTTGCACTTAATTTTATCATCTTTTTACCAAGAAACCTCTGAACGACCTGTGGGTCACTTCCAAAGCAGTGGAGCAGGTAAAGCGCTGCCATAAACTCCTGGACGCTCAGGTGGACGAAGCAGTAGATGGATTTGTTGAAGAGGACACTCTCTCGTTTGAAGATCTCTGTACAGAGTCCTGAATAGACCGAGTCCTCGGTCAGGTCCAGACCCACCTGCTCCAGGTCCTCCTGGTAGAACATGAAGTTTCCTTTCTGCAGATGTTCAAAGGCCAGTCTGCCCAGCTTCAGGAGCAGCTCACAGTCGTCTGTGTTCAGCTCTGGACCGCTGCTCTCTCCTGTGTTCTTGCTCTTCCTGTAGGTCTGCACTAACAGGAAGTGGGCGTACATGTCGCTGAGTGTCTGGGGCAGCGCTCCGCTCTGATTGGTTCTCAACATGTGGTCCAGGACCGTGGCTGTGATCCAGCAGAAGACTGGGATCTGGCACATGTTGTGGAGGCTGCGGGAGGTTCTGATGTGGGACAGGACTGTCTTACACTGCTCTTCATCTGTGAACCTCTTCCTGAAGTACTGCTCCTTCTGATGGTCAGTGATGAAGCCCCTGACCTCTGTCACCCTGTGCACACACTGCGCTGGGATCTGATTGGCTGCTGCTGGTCTGGAGGTGATCCATATAAGGGCAGTAGGAAGCAGTTTGCCTTTGATGAGGTTCACTAACAGCACGCTGACCTCTGACCTCTGTGTGACCTCAGAGATGAACTCACAGTGAAAGTCCAGAGACAGTCTGCTCTCGTCGAGGCCGTCGAAGATGAACAGGAGTTTAGAGACGGACAGAGTTTGTGCTGTGAGCGTCTGTGGACACAACGAGAACATGAACAAGAGGAGACATTTCAGTGTGATCAGGTTCATCCACACGTGGAAACAAACTCACACACAAAGGACTTGACTCAATGTCAAATACCTTCTAAAAATGACTCGAGACTCAAGTAGAAAAGCAGACAAAGGAGTGTCACCTGTGGTTCCAGCGCTGGATGGAACAGTTGTATCAGCTCCACCAAACTGTAGCTCTCCTCTCTGACCAGGTTCAGCTCTCTGAAGGACAGCGGCAGCACCAGGTCCACATCCTGGTTCTCTGAACCCTGGGCCCAGTCCAGAGAGAACTTCAGGACTGAGAAGGTCTTCCCCGCTCCAGCCACGCCGCAGGTCAGCACCGCTCTGATGGACCTTTGCTTCTTCTGCTCCTTCTGCTGTGGCGCCCCCTGCTGCTCAGTGGGCAGTGCTTTAAAGATGTCCTGACACCTGATGGAGGTTTCCTGGACTGTTTTTTTGGAGAGTTCCTCCAGCCTCCTCTCTTCATGTCGGGCTGTGTCCTCTTCACTGAGGCCTGCTGTGATGTACAGCTCAGTGTAGATCATGTTCAGAGGAGTTCTACTTCCTGCTCCTTCAGTTCCCTCCGTCACACTCCCACATCTGCTGCTCAGGCTCAGCTTATACTCCTGCAGAACCTTCTGGAGCTCTTCACCTGCTGTGAGAGGAACACAGATGTATCAGTTAACATGTCTTTAATTGTGGAGTCAAATTACAGAAACGTAAACGTACAGACATGATCAATATTTGTATACTGGACTGTATCTGACACCCTCTTTGTACAAACGGCTGTTTGTTTTTACTCGTACATCTTATTTATGCAGCTGAGTCTTCAGGACGGTTCTTATGTACATTATTTATTATAATGCATCTAGAATCCACATGAGTGACATGTCAACTCTACACTAAATGTACAATCATGAAGATCAGAAAGACTAAGAACAGGACAGGGGCGCTCCTTTACACGGGCCGACATGGCGTGGAGGGCGACATGAGCGCTCACGATCACCCCCACCTCTCTTTTTGCTCAGGGAGTTAGTGGTCTGGGGCAGCAATTCTCCATTTTCCCTCTGTAATCCATCCTGTGAATTCTTCAGCCTGATGGAGGACTGGTTGGACTGGGGTTTACCTCTTGCTGGTTCCTGATTGGTGGGGGACCTCATCAACTGCTCAGTCCCGCCTCATCTGAAGCCACATCCTCTGTTAAGGAGACAGTTTGCTCCTGTTTGGAGCTGCAGGACTTTGTCACAAAGACGTTTTACAGAGCATGACTCAGCATTATTCATTCACTCTGTACCTGGTGATGTAAACTACTATTGTAGCCACAGCTGCCCTGGGGCAGACTGACAGAAGCACGGCTGTCATGCCAATCGGCGTCATCGGTCCCTCCGACCACCATCACACACACACACACACACACCACTTTCATATTAGGCAATGTGGGTGAAGTGTCTTGCCTAAGGACACAACCACAGTTTTCCATCTGCAAACCTCAAACAGTCAGCTGCTCTCTGCGGTTGTCAGAGCTCATGGAGAAAGTCTCGCTCTCAACTTGTGCCTCCAGGCTTCCGTAGAAGAGCCAAACAAAACAAGTTAATGAGACGTTGGGTTGCTGCAGTTTGTTCAGTGACCAGAAGAGGGCAGTAAAGGACACCACCACTACTGCCACGTTTCAAACACACAGAAGTGAGGGAAAACTGGATTATTGGGACATAACTTGAAACAGTTTCATTTTACTTTTGACACACGATGAGTTTCAGTTTAGTCTCTGGTTTAGTGTCGTCATAAACTGTGTAAAATCGACTCACTCAGTGAAGTTCTGTGGACCTGCTTTTGTTCTGTCCTGTCATCGTGTTGAGTCCAGGGCCAGGGCTTTACTCTGTGAACAAAAACATTAAACTCATTTGATTTAAATTGATCAAGTTTTGGAAAATAATTTAAAAATAAATGTGGGCATAAATTAATGTAGCAAAAAAGTTGAAATAAATGAAATTATAAAAAATAAATGTATACATAAATAACTGTGAAATGTAAAAACAAGTCAAACTAACTCTTCCTCTGGCTGCACTTTTTTGTGAAAGCCTCGAGTTTATCAGTTTTTGTTTATTTTCCACAACTTTACAATCCATGAAAAATGTGAATCCAAAGAAAAGGACGTGTGCTGGATGTGGATATGAAAAAAACTAATAGAAAAGAGTTCAAATGTCATATTTTTGAAGTACGACATTATTGGCTGATCATGTCATAACCAGCCAATAATGTCACAAACTATTGGCCAGATTTATTACGTTATCGACTGATCCATGGTCCAACCGCAGTATCGGATAAACCGATATTATGGAACTGAGCCACATGAGCCACAATTTTTCTGTATCGGCTCATGTTTCTGTCTAAAGGCCTTTAAGTAAAACATCATAAACCACATGCTCCTTAGGAGATTTTTATTTTTGTTTTGTTTTTATTTTTACAATGACTCAATATTCAGAGCTGTGACCTCAAGTTTTAAACCAAATACAGTCAGTCAGACTCACAAACACACGACTTCTTTAATGGAAAAGTTTTGTTTTTTATATCATAAATATATATTTTTTTTATATTGTGAATAAAGTTTTTGTTTTTCTCTGGTCCAAAAAACCTAAATAAAATCAAATTGTGACTCACGTACAACCAAGTACTACAGATGTTAAAAGGTTAATATTAATATCAGCAAATATCAGTTATCAGCCAGAGTAACAAGACAAATATCAGTATCGATATCAGTATCGGTTCAAAAAAGTCTATATCAAATCATCTCTATTCATTTGTCTTTATGTGACATGTTCTTTAGTGTGACATTTGTTCTTACAGTGAGGATGAAGGTTCAGGTTCATGTCTGACGTCTGGAGGACCTTTAGACTGGTCACTCTTCATGGACTCAGGTCTGGACTCTGAGGCTGAGGATCTGCGTCTGGACACAAAACATCATGAGTTGTTACGTTGAAGACTTTGTTCCTGTGGGTTTAGATCAGTGTGACAAAGGCACATGTGACATGACCCTTTGGATTGGATCAATAAGATGAAAAAGCAGCAGGTCATGACTGTTCCTCTCATGTCTTTATCTTTCTCTGCTCCACATGAGTGACAGCTCTATGACATGTACACATCACATTTATATGTTTTACATCCAAATGTGTAGGAAATATATCAAAGTATCATCAATACAAGTACAAGAGCAGCACACAAACAATGTGTTTTACAAATGTGAGTGTTACGAGGAGACTGAGACAGCAGGACTCTGGGTTCTACAGCACAGAAGAGGATTCTATTGTTTATATAAAGTACATGTGTTTCCTGGTGGAGAAAATCGTGTTGTGGTGGATTCAGTTGGAGCTGGAGAAGACTGAGGTTCACAGGGATGAGGAGCTACAAGAGGACGACGCTTCTCACTGTAGCCGTGAAGGTCCATCAGCTCCTGGGACGTCTCCAAACTAATGGACAACTGATATAATGTTTGCAGTGAAAGAGTAAACTTGTGTCAAATATCAGGTATAAGAGGAGGTGTGACCAGGACTTCAGGTTGGACTTTTGTTCTAATAGTTGGAAATTGTTGGAAAAAGACCAGAGTATTTCTTTGTAAGAGCGAGTCTGAGGAGACAAAGTGTTTTTCTGGATTCTTTCTGAACAACACTGGACACATCAGCTCCTCAAAAATCCTCCTGAGCTTTGTAACAGTGAAAAACAAATGAGTGGACTCACCGCGCCTCAGCGCTGCCCCCTGGAGCTGCTTCTCCTTCTATCTGCTCTCTCCTTGAATCCATTTCCCCACTCGCTCAGTCTGGAGGAGAAAACACAGAGAAAAGTTTCACTCTTTACAGTTGAACAGCACTTCTGCTAAAGTGACAGGAGCACTGTCCCCACTTTACAGGAAACTTTTAAAGGCCCAGTTCTAGTGAGTGTTAGTAGTGCTCATGTCCCACACACACACACACACACACAGTGTGGGGACACCTGACAAATAGGTGTGTTCTGGGAACCACCCTTTCCCATCATGCTACAGGCTTCAAAAAAATCAGGGATGTTAGTAAAAAAATATCAAATCAGCCCATCACCTTGAATTGTGTATACACTCACAACAATGTAACCTGACCTGACATAATCAGCATATGTGGGGACAACCAATATATCGTTCAATTTGGGGACCTAATTTACATAGTACCTCCCACAAATGACAAAAACACCAGCACTCATGAGGACCGTATACTTCATGGGGACCAATCCAATTAGCATACACATACACACACAGGTTATTGGGTAAGGTGGGGACACAGCATTTCACTGACTTTGGACTTGGGCTATCAATGTTTGTATGGGAGTCACAGGCAGCCTGAGTGGCAAACCTACTCCAGTCTGTGTCTTTAAACCTGTCTGGAGTACTGAGTCTACCCCCACTGGCCACACTTTGATGGTTTTCACTGATGGCTTCACATGGTTGATGTGTGGTGTGATAAGGCAAAAAGACTAAGTATTGCCCTGGTATTCTTAAAACCACAAGAGAAGCAACTGCTGCCTAAACCACAGGTAAGACCTCGGCTCACAGAGTCTCCAGTTGTTAGAGCGGTTGTTTAAACGGCGGAAGTGACAAGAAAGAATATTTGGAAAAGTTCTTTCGACATAGCAATTCCTCTGTAAGACCTATTAAGTAGAGAATAATACTTAAACTAACCTAAAAATTATATATGAGCAAAAGCCAAATCATCTCAGACGAAAATAGTGCAGAATTTACATGTATTGCCAATGCTGTATATCTTCTGTATATCATGTTTACATGTTCATAATACATCTGATATATAACTTCATATTTATTTTTATAGCACAACTGTTCTTATATATCGTTTGCTTTATATATCATACATTATTCATAAAGCACACCTGCATACTTGCTGATAGTATATCATTCTAGTAGCACGACTGTATAATTGTTTATAAAACATCTGTTTATATCCCTCATGTATATTTGTACCTAATTCCCACCTGTTCATACGCCCCTATTTATTTGTATATATTCACTACAAACTAAACTGTAATATACTGCATATTTCTCTATATGCTGGTGGTTTAGCTCAACGTGGAATAATTACAAGGTAATTCAATCTTTAAATGTAATCCTAAAACCTTTATTGGAACAGTTTATGCATAAAGGTAATCTTAGTAGTTCAACTGGTAAAGCATACAGAACCAAAAGAGAATCGATGCAACTTCACTGCATAATATTAAATATATGGTATAATACAGATATAAACAAAATAGCATTATTAAATGCACTGTGCTGCAACGTGAAGGTCAGAAAAATTACCACATTTTCTGCACTATAGGGCACACTTAAAAGCTTCTAATTTAATCAAAAAATTATATATAACGATATATATGAATTTATTGGAGTGTCTTAGTACGACTTAAGTAAACTACAAAGCCGCTCCACTTGCAGCATTACGGCTCCCGTAGTCAGGAGCATCAGGAGTAATACAGACTGTGATTCCTTTTAATATCAAAATGCACCTGTCAAGAGACACGCTCACAACGCCCACTTTAAACTCAAGGCTGTACTAAAGTGAAAGTGTGAACTGCATGGGAGCAGTGGATGAGACACACATTCACCAAGACGGCACCGAGCGACTTACGCCACGATCTGCCAATGGATCGTGGACGCCTGCGCTAAGGATCAGTATCAACTGTGGTCCGAGCTTTCACAAAGACCAGAATCATCACTGAACTGAACTCCAGGGAACAGTAACCACACTGACTCGGATAATGACGAGAGGGATGCGGGCGAGCTGAACAACTGAACAATTTGAAAAATTATGACTTGTGAATACTCTAACAATTTAGCGTCTCAGACAGTTTTTTTTTACACATTACAACTGAACAAAGTTGAGAGTGAACGTGTTAAATACAGTTTGACTGACTTATCTAACTGTTGTGTTTTGTTTAATGCGCCTTATATTCCGGTGCAGTTTAAATGTGAAAAAAGTTCAAAAATAGACCATTCAATGACGCGCCTTATAATCCAGAGCCCCTATAGTGCGGGAAATATGGTAAAACTAAATTTTGTTGTTGACGAAATACTTTACGGCTCGCCAGTCATGGGTTTTGAGACCGTCTGGTTCTACCTGTAGGCATTTTTCACAGTCTTGTTTTCCTGGGATTGGATGAATCCACCCAAATGCTTTTGGACTGCCTCTACCTCATTTTCCTCCCACTTCTTCTGAGCTCTGCTTCTGTGTCCTGTTGAGCACAAGTCAAAAAGTTTCATTTCACAAGCGAATTTAATATGGCCTTGTGTACTCTACTAATCAAATATGGGCCGGTGTACTATACTAATCAAATATGGCCTGGTGTACTATACTAATCAAATATGGGCTGGTGTACTATACTAATCAAATATGGCCTGGTGTACTATACTAATCAATTATGGCCTGGTGTACTATACTAATCAATTATGGCCTGGTGTACTATACTAATCAAATATGGGTCGGTGTACTATACTAATCATATGGGCCGGTGTACTATACTAATCAAAATATGGGCCTGGTGTATACTAATCAAATATGGGCCGGTGTACTATACTAATCAAATATGGGCCGGTGTACTATACTAATCAAATATGGGCCTGGTGTACTATACTAATCAAATATGGGTCGGTGTACTATACTAATCAAATATGGGCCGGTGTACTATACTAATCAAATATGGGCTGGTGTACTATACTAATCAAATATGGGCTGGTGTACTATACTAATCAAATATGGGCTGGTGTACTATACTAATCAATTATGGCCTGGTGTACTATACTAATCAAATATGGCCTGGTGTACTATACTAATCAAATATGGCCTGGTGTACTATACTAATCAAATATGGCCTGGTGTACTATACTAATCAAATATGGGCTGGTGTACTATACTAATCAAATATGGGCTGGTGTACTATACTAATCAAATATGGGCTGGTGTACTATACTAATCAAATATGGCCTGGTGTACTATACTAATCAAATATGGCCTGGTGTACTATACTAATCAAATATGGGCTGGTGTACTATACTAATCAAATATGGGTCGGTGTACTATACTAATCAAATATGGGCTGGTGTACTATAATCTAATCAAATATGGCCTGGTGTACTATAACTAATCAAATATGGGCTGGTGTACTAATCAAATATGTGGTGTACTATACTAATCAATATATGGCCTGGTGTACTATACTAATCAAATATGGCTGGTGTACTATACTAATCAAATATGGGCTGGTGTACTATACTAATCAATATGGGCCGGGCTGTACTATACTAATCAAATATGGCCTAGTGTACTATACTAATCAAATATGGGCTGGTGTACTATACTAATCAAATTATGGCCGGTACTATACTAATCAATATGGGCCGGTGTACTATACTAATCAAATATGGCCTGGTGTACTATACTAATCAATTATGGGTGTACCTAAGGGCCGGTGTACTATACTAATCAAATATGGCCTAGTGTACTATAACTTAATCTAAAAATATGGGCTAGTGTAACTATACTAATCAATAGGGCCGGTGTACTATACTAATCAATTATGGCCTGGTGTACTATACTAATCAAATATATGGCCGGTGTACTATACTAATCAAATATGGCCTAGTGTACTATACTAATCAATTATGGGCCGGTGGTACTATACTAATCAAATATGGGCTATGTACTATACTAATCAAATAATGGGCCTAGGTGTACTATACTAATCAATATGGCCTGTGTACTATACTAATCAATTATGGGCCGGTGTACTATACTAATCAAATATGGGCTGGGCCATGTACTATACTAATCAATTATGGGCCGGTGTACTATACTAATCAATATGGGCCTGGTGTACTATACTAATCAATTATGGCCGGTGTACTATACTAATAATCAAAATATGGCCTGTGTACTATACTAATCAATTATGGGCCGGTGGTACTATACTAATCAAATATGGCCTAGTGTACTATACTAATCAATTATGGGCCGGTGTACTATACTAATCAAATATGGCCTGTGTACTATACTAATCAAATATGGCCTGGTGTACTTATACTAATCAATATGGCCTGGTGTACTATACTAATCAATTATGGGCCTAGTGTACTATACTAATCAAATATGGCCTAGGTGTACTATACTAATCAAATATGGCCTACTAATACTGTACTATACTAATCAATTATGGGCCTAATCAATTATGTACTATACTAATCAAATATGGCCTAGTGGTACTATACTAATCAAATATGGCCTAGTGTACTATACTAATCAATATGGCCGGTGTACTACTAATCAATTATGGGCCGGTGTACTATATATCAAATATGGCCTGTGTACTATACTAATCAATATGGCCTAGTGTTACTATACTAATCAAATTATGGGCCGGTGTACTATACTAATCAATATGGGCCGGTGTACTATACTAATCAAATATGGCCTAGTGTACTATATAATCAATATGGCCTGGGCTGGTGTACTATACTAATCAAATATGGCCTGTGTACTATACTAATCAATTATGGGCCGGTGTACTTATACTAATCAAATATGGCCTAGTGTACTATACTAATCAAATATGGCCGGTGTACTATACTAATCAATATGGCTAGTGTACTATACTAATCATTATGGGCTGGTGTACTATACTAATCAAATACTAATATATGGCCTAGGTGTACTATACTAATCAATTATGGCCGGTGTACTATTACTAATCAAANTAGTAGTAGCAGAACAGCCACTTCGAAGACAATTTT